CTAGGGCGAATGTGAAGCAGCTTGTCCGCGCTACAACAGCTGAAACCGAAGATTCTCTCAAGGAGCTGATCGCCGAAGAGCAGGGTAGGCTCCACCAACAAGGTCCGCCAGCACCGCAACTGCAGCGACAGGCTGAGCGACGTCGCCCTCACCAAAAAGACAGAGTCGAGCTCAACGCGTGGCTCGGCGATGTAGAGCCGCCTGAGTTCGACGAGCCGGCGTGGGCATGGAAGAAGCCTGTGACGTGGGCCTTTGCAGCGTTGGCTGCTTTTCTGCTATTGGGATGGCTGACTTCGTCCTACATGATGGCGACCGAGCACCCCGAGTCTGCAGCGCGGACACCAAATCTCCTGAAAGCCGTAGGTGCTCGTGTTGGCTACACATACGAATGGATCACAGATATTATTACTCCCCCAAGAGGTTCCACGGATGCTGAACGGCAAGTTCAGCTAGAAATAGAGCGTGCCAAAGCCTACAAAGAAAACGGCGAAGATCATTTCTTGTGGGGCCGCATGTCTAATATGGACGAGAAGTTCAGCAAAAGCACAAGGGAGATGAGGGCAACTCTTGAGGAGCTGAGACACGAGTTGCCGGATATGATGATAGTTCGTCGCAAGGAGGATGGTTCGACGGAGATATCAGAAGAGTTTTGGTCTGCTTTGCTTGGCAAGGCGCGTTCGACTGAGACGGAGGCGGATTGGCATGATTTTCTCGAAGGATCCAAGAAGAAGCTCCAAGATCTCCTCAACCCAGCTCTGCACCAGGACCGCGGCTACACGTCTACATGGCCTGAAGCAGTCACACGCGAAGAGTTCATCCGTCAGATTGAGAAGTCTTACCAGGACATGACCGTCCGAGTGGACAAGAAGATCGACGAGGCCATGCGAGCCCACAGCACCCAGTTCCAGACGATGGTGCAAGCAGAGACCCGAAAGACCATGATGGACCAGATCCGGCTCAATTCTCTAGCCCAAGCCAACCTCGTCGCAAACTACGAACACCACCTCACCAAACCCAACTACTTCTCCCCTGGCTTGGGCGCCATCGTCGAGCCCGACCTGTCTTCTGTGACCTTCAACAACAAGCCTGGTCGGTTCTACGAGTTTGTGCGCCGCGTGACGTTTATGCCTGGACAGAACCCGCCGATGGCAGCGCTCACCAAGTGGGAAGAGCCAGGCGACTGCTGGTGTTCTGCTGGACAGAGCGGGACCTCGGCCGGCCAGGCTCAGCTCACCGTCCGACTCCCACGGCCTGTCGTCCCCAAGCAGGTCACCATCGAGCACGTACCCATGAACATGATGCCGGCGCGCAACATCTCCAACGCTCCCCGCGACATTGAGCTCTGGGTCCAGACGGACGCGCCCATCAACCCCTACTACTCCCATCGCCAAATGGCATGCCACGACCCGCCACCGCACAGCATCAGTGGCCCCGCCTGGAAGTGCTTGGGGTCGTTCAAGTACAACATCCACGCGTCGAACCATCTCCAGACGTTTGACCTCGCTGGCGAGCCGTCCGAGCCTGTTCGGAGAACCATGGTGCGTGTAATTAGCAATTGGGGTGCTACTCACACGTGCCTGTATCAGGTGAGACTACATGGGACGGACGCACAAAAGGACTTTGAGTACCCGGTCAGCCTAATGGATTAGGCCAATAATGTTTGGGACGAAAGCATGACGGCGTTTTTTGTATACCTTCGGGATTTTAACGAGTGTTTTTGTATACCCCACGATAGCACCAGAGCACTAGCAATTGTTATTTAATTTGACGACGTAATCCTGACTGCAATGGTTTGTGAGATTGTTGGCTTATTAAGTGACAGGCTCACTTTGTAGCATGAAATCTACCTCTGAACAGTCGATATATGCGCGAGGCAGTACAATAACTTTTTCGTTCTTGTCTAATCAGACGCATCTATCGCACAACACCTCCCTTGAGAGTGGGGATGCTACACAGGCCGTCCTTGGTCCTCAGCTTGGCTACACCCGTCTTCTTATCCGCACCTTCGCCGCTCAACTGTGGCACGACACCGACATCGAAGCCCACTTCCAGACCATCTGTTGTGGTGAAGCCTGGCTGGATCATCTCCCAGACCTTCTTCTTGGGGTTGAGTACAGGCTCAGGCTCGCCTTCCCAGCCCTCGAAGTAGACCCGGTCACCTGCCTTGCTCTCCTTGGGGGGATCCACCAGCTCGACTGGTCCCTTGTGGCTGTCCTCGCCCTCGGCGACGCGTGGTGACGCAGCGAGTACCATTGCACAGCTCTTGACACCGCGCATGGTGACGGGCTTCAGGTTGCACACGGCGACAATCTTGCGGTTCTGCATCTCAGCAAGGGGGATCAGGCCGTTAAGACCAGAGCATACTGTGCGCACGACCTGGCCTTCGTACTCGGAAGTGTTGTCTGTGCCGGGAGCGTCGCCGCATGCGATTGTGGATACGTAGAGCGAGTCGGCGTTGGGGTGGGTTTCGGCCTTGAGGATGTGGCCTACACGTAGGTCGATGAGGGCGGGGGACAGAGGCTTCTCGACTGGCGCACTGTGATTGTCAGTTGTATACACGATCACGAGGGTTCGTGACTTACGCCTTCTGGGGCTTGGGCTGCTTCTCCTTCTTTTCCTTCTTCTTCTTTTCAGTTGGCGCACCCTCTGGAACACCGCCAGCTGCGTTTCCAACGACTGCGGATGCTACAGCGGAGCCAGCAGCCTCGGCCTTGCCCTTGGCCTTCTCGGCCTTGCTCTTGCCTGCCTGGCCCTGTCCACTTTGTCCTTGGTCGCCAGTCAGGGTAGTAGCTGTGGCACCAGACGCAGCGGCGTTGGCAGCGGCAGCCTCCTTCTCCTTCTTCTTGCGCTCCTTCTCCGCCTTTGCGTCTACCGGTTTGATCTTGAAGATGACACTGTCCTGGTCGATGTTGACCTTGTCGTCCAGCTTCAGGCCGAAGACAGGCGAGTTCTGGACAAAGTCGACATGGCGGACAATGTGGTGGTATCCTTGCTCTCCAGTCCTCTCCTCAGCACTCCACTTGGAGACGACCGGTGCGAGCTTCTGGTAGAGGGCAATGTCTGCGACGGAGGGCTTGGCGCCGAGGACGGTGGTCCGGCTGGACAGATGTGTGTTCAGTGACGACAGGCGCTCGGAGGCTTTCGCGGCATCCTCAGAAGAAGAGGCGATGTGGGAGGCGGTGATGAGCCATTGGCTGAGCTCAGTCTTCTCGGCGTCGGAGTAGGTGACTTCGGGGAAGAGAGCCTGCGAGGCCTTGACAGCGTCCGTCTCGTCGGCAGCGTTGTTGGGCGCGTGTGTCTTGAGGAAGATCGCTAGAGTTTCGTCGATTGTGGCCATGGTGGGCAGTGGTGGGAAGAATCGCTGGAAAAAGTCGAGGGCAAGTGGTTGTAGTGGGGTAAAGAAATCCGCCGTAAAGCTACTTGCGGCGGTGGTTCTCGATCTGTGGGGGGATCTGGGCAGTGCTAAAGAGGCTCCAAACGGAAAGTGTCTGGGCTGTGAGAATTGGGGCCGTCCGGTGTGTAGTATGCGACAAAAGGGTGTAGCTGGTGGATAATGACGAAGACGCATGATTCACGTGAGTCAAATTCAGGTCCGCCGTCACCGCGGGGCTCAGAAGCTTCCATGTCGCCGCACAGGCCATCGCGTTTGCCCAAGTCGCGTGTCCATCACATGCATCGCGTCTGCTGCATCTCAAGATGGCTTGATTTATCATGAGGTTAATTGTCGCTTTGCACCAGGAACCAATTTGACAAATTCGGTCTTTGGCTATATCTCATCATGAGCTTCGTATACCCAGTCAGTGCCTCGACGTTCGAATGTCATAGACTATCCAACTGTCCTATGCCGACGATGCTGTAGCCTATTACATGCCTGGTAAAAGTAAGGAAAGTTTGGATGACGACTCGTTTGCTGCCTGCGCCCCACGTACCTAGGTATAACATGTCGAGCTCAGAACTCCTTCCCCGCAACACCATTCCCGCACAGCACCACCATGGCATCCGAGACATCACCAGACGTGCCCAAGGGCAGGAAGAGGTTCATTCCCCTGGGTAAGACACGTCTTCTCACACCGCAATTATGCCAGCTAATGCGCGACAGAGAACAACCCTGATGTCATGTCCGCCCTCGTTCACAAGCTCGGTCTCTCGGAGAAGCTTGCATTCCACGATGTCTTCAGCATAGACGAGCCTGAGCTACTTGCTTTTGTGCCGCGGCCTGCCCATGCTCTGCTCCTCGTGTTTCCTGTCAGTAAGACATACGAAAAGTTCCGCGTACAGGAAGACCAGGACAAGACGGAGTACCAGGGACATGGCCCGGATGAAGAGGTTGTCTGGTACAAGCAGACAATTGGAAATGCCTGTGGCTTAATCGGCCTACTCCATGGTGTCTCCAATGGCTCGGCGCGTGCCCATATCAGTTAGTAGTCAACCTTCGAGATACCAGTTCGCATACTAACAAGACTCCAGAACCCGACTCAAACCTCGCCAAGCTGGTCAACGACGCGATACCACTTAAGCCCATCGAACGGGCCGATCTCCTCTACGAGTCTGAAGCACTCGAGAGCGCGCACCAAGACGCTGCATCGGGGGGTGACACCGCTGCGCCAGAAGCCGATTCCGATGTCGATCTACATTACGTCTGCTTCATCAAATCGGACAAGAACCACCTTTGGGAACTCGACGGTCGACGGAAGGGTCCTCTTGACCGGGGTGTGTTAGCTCCAGATGAAGATGTTCTCAGCGAAAAGGCTCTTGACCTGGGCGTGCGTAGCTTCCTGAAGCGCGAGGCAGAGGCCGGTGGAGGCGAGCTGCGTTTCAGTCTGATCACGCTTGCCGAGTCATTCTAGGAACGGCTAACCAGCTGTGGAGTCTAGAGAGTACACGAAACAGACCAAGTAGATTGGTAACGAATATCTTGAGAACAAGTACTGTGGGGGCATGATATCGCTGCTACGGCTGTCTGCATAGATTCAAAGCATGCTTAGACCATTTGATGTGACTCAAAACTCATCTACCTTTACTTCTCGTCCTTCCTTCAGCGGCAGATACACCTTCTCCCATAGATCACTCCTCTCGCCAAGGTGATAGGTCAAGCTGACGTCTTGCATACCTGGCGACGGGGACGATTTAGGAGCCATGGTTTCGAGTTGCGAGATGATGTTCTCCAGACCCAAGGCCTTTCCGGTAGCTTGTGTACTGCCAGCTTCAAGTGAAACATGGACGATGTGGATGTGAAAGTGGTAGTACGTTGGTTGGTCTATCACCTGTCAGCGAGTCTCCCCAACCTCATCGTACAAACTTACAATGCACGTAGAGTTTGAGCTCATCCTTTTCAATCTCCGGGTACAACTTGACAGTTGCCTCAATCATCTTCTCCCGCATATGCTTAACCCACTCTGTCATGCTTTGTTCAAGATCCCTTACGCTCCAGATGTCCCTTCGTTCGACCAGACCTAGCAGATGCAGACTACCCATCGTCTTGCGATCCCAGTTCAGATCCGGCAAGAGTAAGAAGCCTTCTTCGCCAGACTCCCGGTACATGACATCTTCTTGCTCAGTCCGACCCTCGAGAATATTGAAGATCCAATCCAGTGCGCCCTTTTCACGCTGCGCCTGCATATACGGCCTCACATATTTCTGGTAAATCTCGGGCGTCTCGGTAACAACCCTCAGACGCTGCTGCTCGTACTTTTTCACATGTTTCTCTGTGCAAGGATAGATTAGATTCAACTTAAAGTCCGGAGGCGGGTTGTCATCGCTGGGGTTGGAATTTGCGAGGAACCAGGCGTAGATGTCGTTTGCACCGAGATTCTTAATGTTGCGCAGTGAGGTGGAAAAGTTGGATATAATGCTGGGCTTGGTGTCGAAGGCGGCACGCTCAGCGAGTAGGAGAGCAGGTTTAGAATCAATGGTTCCGTAGAGGGAGATGCGGCGGCCGGCCTGATCCGAGTTTAGGAGGCGGGTTAGCTGGAACTTTGGGATCAGAGATTCGACGTGGGCGGCAACGTCTGGGGGTGTTGTGGAGGTCATTTTTCAGTCGTTTACTATACCCGACATCAGCACGATAACGCGTCCAACAATTTTACGTGACTTTGCATATCCCAGAAAGCATGGCTGTCTACGTCATACTGAAGGAGCGAACTTACTAGACAAACGTGGAATGGCCCAGAGCACATGCAGAGAAGTCTCCCACAATTTCGGGTGGATGTGGGGAGATTGATGCGAGATCACATGTCTGCGCGATCTCGCGTATCACTGCAGCAACCAATGAATGCGACCCTGATCAGCGCCAAGCAAATCGAATGAGGTCACTGAACCCAACCACCCCATCATCGCAAGCGACTATCACGACGTTGAGCAACCGACAACTGCCCATTATCGATCGCAAATACTCCAAAATGGCTCCCAGACGCAAAGCATCCGCCCCCGCTGCCAAGTCGCAGCAGTCGACTCTCGCATTCCACGGCACGACAAACAGGGTCACAAAGGCTGGCGTCAAATCGCAAGGCGCAAAGAAGAACATACTCGAGGCGAAGCTGAAAGACATCAAGCCAGAAGTTTCCGACATCTCAAATACTGAGCCGACAACAACGGAAGCTGCGATCATCGAGCAAACAGAACAGGAGGTCAAGGCGCAAGAGGTGGAGAGCACACCAGACGAGGACAGAGCACGGCGCATATCAGATGCAGCGATCAAGAAGTACTGGACCATAAAGGAGAAGCAAAGGCTTGCACCGCGGACGCACCAGGGAGGTCTGAGCCTGCACGACAAGATACTGAGGGAGTTTGACATGAGCGCGCATTATGGCGTAAGTTCCGAGTCCCCGCCCATCTATGATATGAAGTCCTCGACGTTGTAATCATGCGCTAACAAGATATGCGCTTGTAGCCATGTACCGGAATCGCTCGGTTGAAGCGCTGGAAGCGAGCGCAACGGCTCGACCTTGACCCGCCGATCGAAGTACTGGCGGTACTGCTGCGGGAACAGGATGCAAGCGACAAGGACAGGATAGCTGTTCAGCGCTCGATCGTCGATGAGATACTGAATTCTAGGGCCGAGCTTGATGTATGAGGATGGGTATTAGCGCGTTGGGCGCAAACTGCAGCAAGGACGCCGTAGGAGCGATGCGCTTCTCGACGACCTATGCTATGAATACGAGCTTTGATACTGGCGTTATGCGAGGAGTTGGGCGGCATGGTTGAACAGGAGCACTGAGTGATTATGTGTAGCAAGCGGATGGTGGGCACGCGAGCATTGCAGTCTTGCAAATGAGCTACTAAATTGACGCAACCCAAGAATTCAATCTACAAATCCAATCCACACACCATTAGTAACACTTTGATAGTGCGTGCGAGAGAACAATTTTCTCCTCGTACGTCAACATGCGTTGGGGCTTACACCTCACGACTTGGGTTTGCTCGGAACTACTGAACTAACAAAGACACCTAGTCCTGGTGTCGTTGCAGAAGCGATAAGGAGCGACATGGAGATGCGGGGTTGCGCAGTGGACACGGTGCGGTATGGCCGACGAACGATGATGGTTAGCATGTCATGTAGACTGCAGCTGGTCGTTTGACAGCAATTAGGAGGCTCCAGACTCTAGTATGCTTGGGCGGCTCCAGAGCCAAAAGACGCGGGGTCGATCGACAAAGGCTCGATGAAGCTCCAGACTTGAGCTCGCGTGTTGGGTGGCAATTGCTGAGCTGCACGGCGGTGGGGCATGATGCTGGATCCGCATGCGAATGGCGCACTAACAGCCAGCCCGATTCCACGCAGCCGGCGTCGTCCTTGTTAGCGGGCACTTGCTCACTATAGCTGCCAGTAGAGCATGCAGCGCGCACAGTGCGTCTGCCATATCTCCGCACGCATCCTTGCGAGGTCCGTGAGACCCACCCATTGGCATCCTTATCGCCCTTGCAACAACTGCGCCGTGATGCTGCCGAATCCCAGCGGCTGTCACGAAGCCGAAACTGCTATTTCGGCTGCCCGTCGTGCAGTGCAGTCTGCCCCAGCCAACCACAGCCGGCCATGGAGCAAGCGTTGCATGGTGGCTGCACCATGAAGCCGGGCTGGGTGAATTAAAACGGCGCCTTGTCGAGTGCTTGGGATGGTGAGATAGCGGGGAACCACTAGAGACGCCCATATCATTCCTGTGGCTACAACCTCCATCGACGCCCCTCGCCCCTCCATGTTTCTTTCTTCCTGCTCGTTTAATCCAATTCATCCCATTCCCCTCATCGCAGCATGACTACCGCCGCGCTTTAGATTCACTCTTCCGCAAAGGGCCGCGACTTCTCCACGGCTTCGTGCTTACCTCTCTGGCCCCGGCTGTTGATCAACTCAACAACTAACGCGCCGTCTTACCCAAACTTTCAACACGTAGGTCCCACGCCCGAAGCTTAAGACGCCGCGTACTTATCAATTGCCCGACAGACTACTCCTGTCACTCCTGCTGTGCTCTGGTAGTCTCCTGACCCCTCCGCTGCATCTCTCTGATTGGGAAGGGCCATTGCTACTACAGAGGACCTGCCAATTGACTTCTCGCCCTCCTCCCACGTTACGCGCCTTCGCTCCATCTCAACCCCAGGCCTTGGACTTGTCAACATGGCCGCTGCTGTCGCCAGATATCCTTCTATGCTCGGTCGTTCTTCGACACCTCCACCGCACCTGTCGCTCAACACCTCTTCTCGTGGTACGCCGACTGCTATTCCCAACAAGCACATCCCAGAATGCTCCCCCGGCGGACTGCCCGCAACTCCCCCAGCATCGCCGCCGCGGCAAGACAGCCTCATTGAGCAGTCATCCATCACATACCCGCCAGATGCTTACTGCTCGTTGTACTCGGATGACCCGCCCGTGTACACCATCACGGCGGATCGCATGGCAGAGGCCTTGGAGCACACTGCAACCCAGCCGCTGCCGAACCCCGACCAGGTATTCCCATGGATGCACGGTCTCCATTCCGAAAATCAGATCCAGCTTGCCTTCTTCTCGTCTCGTCGCAGAAGCGGCCGAAAGGTTCCCAGGTGCATCCGCAGCATTACCGTTGTCAAGACTGGTGGAAACCTGTCGTCCTCCAAGCTAAAGGGCGCAGTTGCACCAGACGAACTACTGGAATCTGTGTCTTCCGACACACCCAGATTCATGGAGTGTGACCCAAAGGATGGCTTTTCTGTGCGCAACTTCCAAATCCAGGCTTGTAAATTGGCCATGGTTTCGGACATTATTGTTTACGGCGATCACAAAACCAATCCGCAAGACACCGTTGCGCTGGCTCAGAAGATTTCCCTGGCTCAGAGGCAGTACGAAGCGAGAAATGGATTTCCGCATTGCTTGTTCAACACGTTCATGCTATCAGATCCTTTCGCGTCTATGCAAGAGAAATACCCAAAGCTTGTTGCTATTAACTCTGCAGGTGACATGACGGGAGAGGTTGCTGATTTCTTCTACTGGGAGCGATATGAGATGAGCGCAATGTCAAAAGCAACCGAGATCAGCAACAATGTTTTCTTAGGGCCTACGCCTGATCAGGCACTGCATCCAGACTGTGCGGGCGAAGACGCTTATGACATGCTCATCGAAGCGACCGATCTTGCACATGTACCTGAATCACGCTCACTACGGGCTCTGCGAATGGGTCTTGAGCGGGTCCACCGCAGATCTACCCTGCACATGGAGTTCCCATCGTCAGGAAGCATCATGCCTCCTACGTGGGCGCACGGTGAAGTCGATGGTCTTATGGATATGTGCAAGTGGATGTATGAGCTAGCGAACCCGCAAGAGGTTCGGCGGTCGAAGCGCAGACGAGAAGAAGAAGACGAGGCCATAGAGATGGACGACATTGCGGCGCCGCGCAAGTTCCTGATACACTGCACAGACGGCTATACCGAAACGACTCTTCTTGCTTTGGCCTACTTTATGTATGCCGAAGGCCTGCCTGTTCACGATGCTTGGATTCAGATGCATCGCGAGAAAGGCCGCAACTTCTTTGCATACCCCTCGGACGTTGCGCTCCTGACGGCGATACAGCCCCGGATCCTCCAGGAGTCTCCTCGCTTCAACCAGAGTATTCTGAACATCTCAGAACCACGCTGGCTGTCGAAGCTTGATGGAAGCCTACCCAGCCGTATCTTGCCATACATGTATCTTGGCAACCTTGGACATGCCAACAACCCGGAGCTCCTCCGCGCTATCGGCATCACACGCATCCTGAGCGTCGGAGAAGCGCTTTCCTGGCCGGAGGACGTCACGAAGAAGCTCGATTGGCCTGCAGAGAACTTTTTGATGATCGACCGAGTCCAAGACAATGGTGTAGACCCTCTCTGGGGCGAGTTTGAGCGCTGTCTCAAGTTCATTGGTATGTGTTGCAGCTCATGGTAAGGGTTCTCTACTGACATCTTGTAGAAGCAGGGAAGCAAGAGGGAGGCGCAACGTTGGTACATTGCCGAGTGGGCGTATCACGCTCTGCGACCATCTGCATCGCGGAAGTTATGAATGAGCTGGGCTTGTCTTTTCCTCGTGCCTAGTAAGCAAACTGCGAGCTCTTTTCCGACCATAACTGACGTCCCTTAGCTGCTTTGTCCGGGCGCGACGACTTAATGTTATAATCCAACCTCACCTTCGATTCACCTACGAACTACTCAAGTGGGAAGAGTACCAGCGCCAACGACGCAACGAGCCTCTTCGCCGCGACCTGGAGTGGGCAACTGTAGCGCGTGAGATTGCTCTTATGAACAAGCCCTACTCCAGATAACGACTTCACGACCTTTCTGCTCGAAATGACTTATGACGACATGACTCGTACTTGTACGACTACCCTGCCTTTAGTCCAGGCTTGTTCTTATCTTTGTGTGCGATATACAGGTTTTTGCGGCCGCTTTCTGTTCCTTTCTACTCTCTTTTAATACTTGCGTGATTTGTACGCGGAACTGCGGCTCATGGTTTCTGTATCTGCTGTCTGCTGTCTGCTATCTGTCATTCTGGGTTGCGGGCTCGATGTCGATGAGTATGGGGTCAAAGGGCCAAGGGCATCTCTCATCATTCATCTTCTCGATTCATGTATTACTGTCTCGATTCACTGCAATGGACTGCATTGCGGAAGGATCACGGCGTACTGAGTCAAGGTACTTACGGCGTATACGTTTTAGTTCAAGAATGGTTTTCGTCAACACATTCACTGGTAATTCTTTAAGGTTACATCGTGATGTATTGTCTACGTGATTATTGTCTACAGGGATCATTTGCTGCCCAATCTCCAGCGACCTATGTTGCCCTGTCGTGAGTTTGCTGCCCTCTCATGAGAAGTCATACTCAGTACGATCAGAGTGAAGCCTGACGAAGCTGCTGAATGAGGTCACGCTGCTTCGTAACAACGGCCTTTGCCTCGGCGATAGTGCGCTCCATGGTGTCGATCACGTCGTCTGCATCCTGGGCAACCCTACGCGCATGCTATAGCTGATCGTACCGTGCTTCGGCTTGCTTCTTGTATGTATCAAGCTCTCGGATATGTCCGTGGCGCTTTTAGTAAATTGTAACATTGGATCTCGCGATTGCTCACTTCTTCTTCACTTCCTCGAGCTCTGCAGCATGACTGCGCCCAAGTTGTTCTTTCTGCTCATCTAGTGCTGTCTTCAAGTCTTGAGCATGCTTGGCTTTCGCTTCACTGAACCTCTGGATGAGCTTGGCTGCTTTTGAGAGACGAGCGCTGGACTTTTTCATCTCGAGATGTTCAGTGGCGGAACCGCGTATAGCAGCGATCTGGCTATCCCGCGTCTAATCAAGCGCCCGCTCAGTGTCTGTGGGTTCATAGCGAAGAGCGCGAGTCGCAAGTTCTTGCCTGACCGGATCGATGCTATGTTTGAAGTTCGCGAACAAGTGCACGCGGTCCGCCATCGTGGTTGGCGTAGCCAGGGGCCGTAAATCGAGGTGGAGGAGTACAAGATGCGGGATGAGGGGATATAGCTGAGTGTGGAGAAAGAAAAGCGATAAAACACACAAATGAACTAGCGGACAGAGTCACGGGGCTCCAGAGTTTTCTGACTTACTCTTAAATAGTGAATGCAAACACTCGTCGCGGTCAAGCGAGCGGCTCTACATATCTAGGCAGACGCGCGAATATCGCCAAGTCAAACAATGTTATGCAAGTCTCCGTCTTGACTTACCAATACTCTACGTTGCTCTCACCTGTGGTAATCTCTCATCGATCCTCTCATCGACCTGGCTTTCTCTCAGATACCAAAGTACGTGTATCGCTAGACAATATAGCGCAAACACTGACTTGTAGGCCACACAACATGGATGACAGTGGGTTTCGCCAGCAAGCTCCACCCTCGGGTGACTATGCTCCTCCCCCTCAGCCGGTCCTGACCACTGCCGGGTTCCATGTGCCAATAGGTGCGGGAGATGAGAAGGAACAGGATCAGGTAAGCTCCCTATTCTGAAGTGACGTGAGACCTACGAGGAAACTTATATCCTTAAGTTGTGCTTTCGAACACGAGCCGTGAAAGTATTCGCTACGTGTTCTATCCATGCAGACCTCAGTCGGACTACAACGTATCCTTCGCAGTGTCCGTTTGTCTTCTTCTTCCACTGACATTGCATACCATGCTAGGTTGATCACTCTCTGTACAGTCGGCTGGCACTCAAGCTTGATGAGGATGGCTGGCTGCCCCTGGTCCAAGCCGCATACGAGGACGAGAAGCGCACAAAAAACACATTCATCAAAGATTGTGATATCGACAATTGGATATATTACGCGGACGAAGTATTGTCTACAGCAGAGCCGGCCATCCTCAAGGCCATCTGCAGTGGGGACGTGAACGCCACCTGCAAAGGCGATATCGGTCTAGGCAAGATTGTCCAATCGTACGGGGACCGTAGCGACACTCAGGCAACCGTCTACTTACATCAGATGACGGTGGGTATGAAGAAAGAGGCACTTAGCATTCGTCAGGCAAACGATATTGCTTTGGTTGCTCTGCAGTACGCGAACGCGCTTGACACATCGTATACTGAATACCAGGCGTATTTGATCGATCATCAAGCAGATCAGAACTAGCTTCTTGCGGACACCGACAGCGGACGGCGCCATTTCATTGAGGGTAGCAAGGGAAACGTCGACAGTGGAAAGAAGCGGGTGCTACTGGGCTTCTCGTGCGCGCTGAACCGTCTTGCCGATGAAGCGAAAAAGGAGAACAAGACACACATCCCCTTCCTTCAGTATGTCGGCTACGCGATCAAAGGAACCCAGCGCAAGAAGCAACACGACTCCCTGGCTAGCACGAGCTGGCTGTTCTTGTTTACCAAGTACGTTTGCGCGACCTGGAAGAACTTTCTTCCAACCAACATGCGCAACTTCACTGTATGTCTCATCACCGAAGAGGCTATCGGCCCTGTTGCTGAAATGCTTCTCGCTCGCCTTGCCCGCGCATACTACTTCGCCGGCGGTTTCAGCATCGGTCAGGCTGGTGCCAGTATGTCAAGTCTAAGGTTGGCCAAGCTCTCACAAGTCGACCGGGAAAAGGTCTGGGAGGCAAATGCTCAGTACGCCAAAAACATGACAAATTATACCCAGATCCAGGCGAAAGAGTTGGCTTCCCGCAAGAATCTGCAGAAGACCGATTACGAGAAGACGATGCGTCAGAAGGATGATGAGATAGCGCAGCACAAGCAAAAGATTGCCGCTATGCGTGACCATTTGGCCGAGTACCGGGCGCAGATCGACGTGGCAGTGTGGGAGAAGGAGTTTCCAGAGGAGTTGCAAGAGTTCCGAGACTTTGAGAAGTTCCCGGAGGAGGAAACCAACATGTTGCAGGACTAATCCGGTAAGCAAGGTGACAGCCAGGCATATACGTCTGCATTGAACGAGCTCGAGTTTCTCCAGACGACCTATCGTCGGCGGTAAGCGTTGACACATCTCCCTTGTTGCGTCACACACTCTTACTCCAGCCCCTATATAATTAGCAGTCTGCCAGAATGCACAAATTTCATAAATGATACAAGCAGTATCACGCCCCGACAGCTTCGAGTTAGCGCGCTTCGGCCGGATTTACTTTTCCGCCAGCGTGTAATTTTCTCTGTCCCACCCCATCTTTACTTTCAAACCTCACGCAAGTCCAGCTCCAGCACCGGAGTCGGGTCACACCATTCACAATGCCCACCCAGCAGCAGCTAGCCCGACGCAGCGGTGCTGTTTCCACGGCTGCACCGATGGACCGCGACCTCGGTTGAACGCAGTCCGTGGGTGCGGAGACCGCTTCCAACCGCTCTCCGCAATACGTCGCCAACCCCAACCAACAGCTCACCCTCCTCCTCATATCACGATGCGGACAGTCTCGGTACTAGCTTCGCCTCTGCGGAGATCAGTACCTACGGCCCGCCAGACACGGTGCTTCTCAAGCTCCCACAGTCTGCAAGCGACATGGGGATTCATAGGACTGGGACGCATGGGTTAGTACCACGGCGCTCACATGACTACCCAGCCTAACAGTCAGATAGGATACCCCATGGCGAAAAACCTCAGAGCAAAGATACCCGCTGAAGACACGCTCTTCGTGCACGATGTAAACACCGCAGCCACGAAGCAGTTCCTCGACGAGCACCCACAAGGCGTGCGCGTGGCTGAAAACGTTCGAGAGGTTGCCGAGAAAGCCGTACGTACATCTCATTTCCTCCCACCGCTTTATGATGAATTAATTGTTCTATCAATGATCTAAGTTGGGGGTCTTCGACCCTTATTCTGATTACACAAATATTATAGCCAATCCTCTGATGCTCTCCACTCATACATGTTGTCGTTGCAGCTTCGAATGCTTGTACTGACGGCCTCAGGAAACCATTGTCACTTCGCTGCCGGAGCCAAAGCATGTAAAGGCAGTCTTCAAGGAGATGCTGGAGCCGGCAACTCTTCTGTCAGACAGCTCCGTCAACAAAGAGCGTTTCTTCATCGACTGCTCGACCATCGACCCCATGACCTCGGGCGAGGTGGCGGAAGCTGCCCATTCTACTGGTCAGGGCAAATTCATCGATGCGCCCATGTCCGGGGGTGTCGTTGGGGCGCAGGCTGGCACGCTCACCTTCATGATCGGTGCGCCGCCAGAGGCCGTCGAAGGAGCCACCAAAGTACTGTCAATGATGGGCCGGAGAGTGGTACATCTCGGTGGGCCTGGTGCGGGTCTTAAGGGGAAACTTGCCAACAACTACCTTCTCGCGCTCAACAACATTGCAACTGCAGAAGCCATGAGCATGGGTGTGAAGTGGGGTCTAGATCCAAAGGCGCTAGCTGGTATGATCAACACGGCTACCGGTAAATGCTGGCCTAGTGAGGTTAACAATCCCGTTCCCGGAGTCATCGAGGGTTCGCCTGCAAGCAGAGGCTATGAAGGGGGCTTTGGCATCGGTCTGGCTAGCAAGGATCTCAAGCTTGCGCTCAAGGCTGCCGACGAGGCGGGTGTCAAGCTCGCTTTAGGGGAGCCCGCGAGAGCGCTTTACGATGCGTGCGAAAAGGCCGAGAACTGCAAAGGCAAAGACTTTTCAGTCGTCTACCGGTATCTTGGAGGCAAGGAGTAGCTAGAATGAATGACATGGACCCGCGGTGCCGCGGTCTTCGCATCTCCGCCGCCAAACAACTCATGTCCGGCTTGGCTGGACTGCATGACTACTGCTTTTTGTGAATAATGCGATCGTGTGGGTACGTTCCTGGCTCCACGCCTCCACATACCGAGGCCCGGAGATCTCCCATCTGGGACGGCATGACCTGTAGTTCTGGAGGAGAAGGCATCTACCTAGGTATTTTACTGCGGACTCTACGTCCACCGCTTCGGGGTTATAATGCGCTCTTCTACTTCAATCCATGTCAACGCAGGCTCATCGTCCGACCACCAACCGTCCATCCTCCCGAGGTCATCAACTCACATCATCGACGCACCATTACTTCTTCAGGATATGCGTTCATCCAGTACCAAAATATACCCTGCCGTTTACCCGCTTCTGCCTTGTCAAGTCTAAGCGCCGCGCATGGTAAGGCACTTCAGGTTTCCAAACGATCATGAGGCAACTCGGCACTCCTCGCCCCACTCATCTTCAAACGGCATACTACGCCACCACCCATGCACATCTACCGTACTGGCTCTTGGCAAACAAGGCTGTCAAACATCGTTTAGGCGACGTGCAACAATGCGACAGCTTGGCCGCTGTGGTCTTACAGCTTAGGTATCCACACCGCCGTGCGCTATAGGTTGCTTTGTGGTAGCCCTACAGAACCTCAGGCCATTTTCGATGTTTGAGGTATTATCGCAGGAGGTGAGATACGTAGGCAAGATTCAGGGTGGATAGAGGAGGATGAGAGTTGATTCAAGCGCGCGGACGAAGCCGAGCGTAGAGACAAGTGTACCTAGGTATATGAGGCTAGGTACTCGTATGTCTTTTCCTGCGCTATTCAAGCTTCCTACCCTTCGTTTCTTCGCTTCGCTCTTTAACTACGATAACCGTAGAACGGTCTTTACATAATATTTACTTTCGATTCTTCCGTCTACCGTTGAACGGTTGTCAGTCCTTTAACGCCTTCGATACCTTTTGTAGATTGAGCTATTTGCTATTACACAATGAAGTCTACCATCTTCTCTCTCGCTCTTGTTGCCACGGCAAGTGCACTTCCAGGTCCGGCATTCAGGACCGTCAACAGACTGCCTAGCGTCAAGTGTATGTCATCTTCCATCTCTTCGCTTGGACTATACTGACCGAACAAGCCAACCCTCTTCGTCGCGCCAACCAAATCATTCCCGTAATCGTCGGTGGCCCACAAGATACCTTCATCCCCAACACCGTTACTGCAGCAGTCGGCGATATCATCCAGTTCCAGTTTTCCAACGGCAACCACACCGTCACGCAGTCGACGGCCGATACAGCATGCACGCCCATGGAAGGCGGTATCCACAGCGGTCACATTCCCTTCCAGGACGGCCAGACAGATGTTGGAACCTTCAACATGCCTGTTACTAGTGCCGACCCCATGTTTCTGTACTGTGCTACCGGACCACATTGCCAGGAGGGCCAGGTCATGATGGTCAACCCTGCGAATGCGCAGCAATTGGCCGACTATGTTAAATTGAGCCAGCAGAGTCAATCGAGCACTGACGGCACTGATGTTGTGGGTGGAACTGCCGGAAAGCTGGCTTTGGATACTGCTGCGTGAGTTTTCTCGCCGGATATGATGTGGTCTCGATGAACCAGACACTGACTGTACTATAGCTTCGTACCTGCACCTCCCGAGGACCCAGCTGCGGCACCTCCTGCGACACCTCCTGCTGCCGAAGCTCCTCCTGCTGCCGAAGCTCCTCCTGCTGCCGAAGCTCCTCCTGCCGAGACGCCTGCTGCCGAAGCACCAGCAGAGACGCCGCCTGCTGAGACCCCAGCGGCAGAGGCACCAGCAGCGGAAGCTCCCGCTGAAGCACCACCCGCTGAAGCACCACCCGCTGAAGAGACTCCCGCGGCAGAAGACCCAGCTGCAGCTCCTGTTGAGACCACTGCTACTCCTGCTGAGACCACTGCTGCCATGGCTTGAGGAGCACGTATCCAAAGCAAACGGAAGGACATGGAAGAGGGTGGGTTTGATGGTTTTAGAGACAAATGAAGTATTCGAATATAAGAGCGAAATGACTGTGCTCTTCTATGACGCGACCCATATTTCCACTGAATGATCTGGTGAGTAAATGTGATGTGTGATGCAAGTGTAAGTCTGATGGGATGGCGCAGATTCATGGACATCGCTGTCTCCTTGTCAAAGAGTACATGAATACTTAAACGACAATATGCACCATGACCACGTCAGAAGCATGAAAGGAGAGAGCAATGTCTGAACCATAGGATTTGAGGTTAGGAACATGAGTCAAGAACTTTCTTATCCGGTAGTCTTGATATATACTGACAAAGTCTCTGCATGTGCTAGCACAGTCCTCTAAATTACTGTATTGTGATATAGTTGACACATCGCGTCTGCTGTATCTTGAAATCACGGAGATATTCGCGTCACGTATTTACATCATCAGCTTGATGTCAAGATAGCACAACGTATGTCCGCATTTTACCAGTCTGCTTACGTACATCTTGAAACTTACCAGAAAAATCAACACATCACTCGGTCGCCACATCCCAATCTTGTCTGGACGAACACACGTCTGAATCAGAGTAAAAATCATTCTGTCGCAAACATGAGGCCACAGTTTCCTTACGACCGCTCACTTGCACAGCCTCCTAGTCGTGACGGGTACATGCGGTAGGCTCCGGGTAGGTGTAATGTTGAGAAAATTCGTGGTGGCGATCAATCTCTAGACTACGCCTTCTCGTTCCAAAGTGTGCAATCCGAAGGCGACACAAGAGGCTGTGTACTCTAGCTCAGACGCAGGGCTAACTAGTCTGGGCTAGGCTTCATGATGAATGGTTCGCATAGGAACGACGGACTCCGGAACGTCTACGCGAGACCAACAGTCTTGACGTTGCTTGGTTCTTCTAAGGGCTTATGCGTACCCTCGAATCCCACTATCTCGCTACTCTTTCTTGCGTAGATGCTGTGTAGAGAGTACCTAGGTAATAAAACATCATATACGCTCCTTTACTGTCTGGAGCAAACCAAGAGATTCAACCAAGGTAGCACCCATGCAAGCATGTACAGATTCTACCAATAAATAGTAACTCAACCGATGCATACAATTAGCAAATATACCATCGCCCGTAAACGTCGGCGAGCATCGCAAGGGCGCTCCTCGGTCTAAAAAGGAAGATGAGCGCCTTGACCTGTCCTCTCCCAAAGCTCTCCAAAATCAT